CTGGCTCCTGCCACAACAGGAAACACATAAGCATGTTCAACACCTGAGCCGAGAGCCACAGTGCCCGTTATCAACCACTGCTGACAGTGCCCAGGGAAATCGACCCTCCACTCTGTTCCCACTGCTCGTTTGGTCTCTAAGATTTCCCGACTTAGGCTTTCCGCCCCATAACCCTGTGCTGCCCCTCAGTACAGGTCCCTCCTGGTTTCAGTGTTTCACTCTTTGGTTACTTGTGCATATGCCTGGACTCTGGCTTTGATTCCTTGGTCCTGACTCACATAGCCTTGTTCCTTGTTGGAACTGCATACCTTGTTCAAGATCCCCACAATGGCCACTTCTCCCAGCCACCCCAAGTCTCCTCACCACCCCGTGTTCTCTGCCCTACCTGACCGGATGTGGACTTCAAGGCCAACACAAGAGGATGAACAAAGAAGCAGAAGTGTGAGCACACAGGGAGAAACTGGGGGAACAGAGAGGTTTAGAACATCTGAAGCACAGGTAGAACTGTGTGATACAATGGTAAGACACGATGGAAAACGTAAGCTAGGGGCAGAATGAAAAAAGCATTAAAGTGTTTGGATCACTGGGTAACACTAAGCTGTTCTTCAAGGCTCACACGGTTCCCTCTACCTTAGGAACCTCCTTTTCTGCTCCAGTAACTCCTACGTGTCCAGCTAAGGGGTTACGCACTCCAGAAAGCCTTATGAGGCATTCCTGGCTGTCCCCTTCCACTCTTACATGCTATAACAAAGAGTCCACAGGCTTTGGAATTCAGACAGGGGCAAAAAGGAAACAGATCCATCAGAAGAGAGCTTATAATCAACTGCTATTGGAGATTTCAGGACAACTGCTTTGGCAGCAGAGTATGAAATGGGTCGTATCAGGAAAGACTGGAACAGGGATCCTCTAGCTTTTCTGAGTTGTTGGCCCCTGTGAGAGATGAAAGCTATTCAGCTGCTCAGCAGACAGAGGCATCAGCACATACAGAAACACTGAGTCTTACAAACAATTTTAAGGGATTTGAAGATCCCTGAATCCCATCAGGAGATTATTTTAAGGAACTGGGTTAAGAATCTCCAGACTGCAATGAAATCAGGTGAGGTTACTGCATACGTCAGATAACAAGGGTACAGCCTAGCGCAGTGGCAGTGAGCTGAAGTGGCGGCAGCAAATAAAGGTTCAGAAATGAAAGAAAATTATAAAATTACATCTATACTCCCGTCTCTTGTGGCCTGTCCCAATCTTAAAGGAATAAATGAAATACTGATGAGTTCTTTGCTTCACGTCGGGAGGTGTACTACGGCGTGATCCTAAATCTCACAACTT